TTCCATAGATTCCAGGATGGATAGTAACGGGTGGTTGGATCACTACGGCATCCACTTTTGTAAATTGTTGAAATGACACCGTTTCTCCACACCTGAGGGAGCACGGTATCTTCAAACAGTTTTTGGTATAGGATCGGCTATGTGACTTGCCAGGGTGATAAGGGCTTGTGGATATTTGTTATCTAAACCCGGTGATGAGTTCTTTTTAAATGCCTGGAGGTTCTCCTTGATCCTTTCGGGAGAAAAGATAATGTCTGTCAGTAATGGTTAAGGATTATGAACACCTCCCCGCTGCCTTTCGGGTCAGCCTTTGGCTACCCAAAGACTCCGGTTGTGGACTCCTCAAGCGAATTCACCTGCCTTGGTCTTGGCAATCTGGCAGTATTCCACCCACATTCAAATCATAGAACGTCTTTCTCTTTCATAAAGAATATTGTACCATAATTTGTTTGGCAAACAGTCTGGATTTAGACGTATATACAAATATAAAATAAATACAATTCGTCCCATCAACAGTATTTCTTCTGTCAAGAAAACAGCAAATGAATACCTTGGTGAGAATGGTGTTAACAAAGAAATTCTCGAAAAATGTGTAACTAAGGAATGTTATCCAGAATTTCCTTGAATGACAGATTTATATTATTGTCCTACTTGTTCAGAAAAGCTAAGTTCGTTATCCGTAAGAACAGTATAAACCTGCATGTTGCAAACTCATAATAATGTACGACGTGCTCACTAGACGATCGAGAGGGTGATTAACTAAGAATTTCAGTGTAGCACATGCTATGATCGTATTACTGGCTGATAATGCTGCTTGTTCCTATCAAAGCACAAATTCGTCAGTTATCTTTTGTAATTTACATGATTAAAGCATAGCCTGATTTCTTCCGTATTCGGTTAGTTCGTCTAATGAGTTGTGAACTCAGCTTCACGTTCATTTCCAAGCATAAAATCTGCAATTTGCCTAATCAATAACGAATTTGCAATATGTTTTTATGAGTATGAAGGCCGGGTTGGTTAAACTACGCTGACAAGTGGTCGCATGTTTGACTTGACAACCGAAAACAGTTTGACAATATTCAACTCAAGTTCCATCGGAGAACTAATTTTGATTTATCAAATGTCCGGTTCGGTCACTCCGGTCGGTGCTTTTTGAGAGAATCTATGTAAAACCTAGGCTCTTTTTATTTCGAGATACTGGCTAACCGATTTGCATTGATCATTTTTCAGACTGTCCAACTATATAGATATGCATTGGGCTTCTGCTATTAATCGATGAATCTCTAATAAATGATCAGTTTTATTTTGGTCACACGAAGTATTATTTTAGATTTATAATATTGCAGATGCGATTTAGTTTGTTTTGTCACATTACCTATACAGCTTGGCAGATTTACAATCCCGGTTTTACCTAAGTGATATCGGAAGTTCCGAGCGATCTTGACAGCGGTCATTGAACGGCAACGCTTTGGTGATGCGTGTACCCGAGTGTGTTCAATACGCCTACTGTTATCGCTTCATTGTGTGGGATTGCATTCAAATAACAAGCGTCTACAATGCTGCGTCGTTTTGATCCCATTCAGGTGATCCGTGCTGATATTTTTGACTGCAAATTGGCCAACTTGTGAGAAAAACTACAATTTTTTCATGAAACAGGGTATGTTCGTGTTTTCCGAGGTTATGTAATCGTCCAAGGACACTTTCCCAAAATCTTATTTTTTCGCTCGATAAAACCATCGGCACTCGGTTTTGAATTACGATATCCTCTCTATCAGTCACATTTGTTCGATTACGTCACCTAGTCACGTCGTATTTGTTTGATTTGGACCCTTCAGCAGCGCACATCTTCATGCGCANAAGCCATATTGTCGATTGTTGACTCAGTTTGGATTATTTATAACCAATCGGCCCCGGATATAAAGTATCCCGGCAGGAATTCCAATGTTCTGTGGAAAATGGACACGATTCATCTTAACAGGTTTGCCAAAATGTATTCATAAAATAATCAATGGAAAATCAGAAATATCAATTTCTTGATAAACATTACGAGATTAGTAAAAACAATACAAGATTTTAAAGTTCCAGGTATGCATGCCACCGTTTACTTTCTGTAAAAATTTAGTTTGTGAAATTTGAGCAAAATGTAACTGAAAATATTTAATTTGCACTTTCGGAAATTCCATTCTATAGCGATTATCAGCAAGCATAAAAACGTGCACTGTTCATTTCTACCAGTTTACTTCATCTTATGCGCCTCAGAGAATCAATTTATCAAAATGTTCCCACCAACGTTACTGGTTGATTGTCCAATAAATTATGGCACGGGGACAAATGTGACCGAATATCCTTCTATTGCTAATTCGGCATCACAATTCACAAATTCTGTGCTTGAATGGATATGGAAGATTGTAAACAGCAATGTACCGTTCCGAGAATGACTTTTTCGGCAACTATAAACAGTGTTAACCAACTCCTTTGATTTACTTTATTACTCTTTTTACCACCAGACTAGAACCGGAAAAATGATAAAAATGAATCATGTCCTCCGGATGCACCGTAATGCGTGTGTGACACGAAATGATAATGTTGATTCACTCTTCGATTCGGAAACGTTTGAGGAAGTAAGCTCTTTATCGTTCTGTCTTCCGAATATAGTATCTGTTATTCTACCCCGTATCTTGGGACCAGAACGACAATAATATGATTTAGCTAATGCCATTCACCAGTGATAAGTCCACTGACGCTTGTCCCATGCCAGCAACTCGACAAGGCCAATCAGCGGCAACAAACGAACCACGGTGCTAAATGTCAGCGAGTCAGCGAGTCGTCCTGCAGGTTATACCTGAATGTAATGAGGATAGAAGTACAAATAAAAAGCCAAACGGTGGTGTGACCACCTCTTGCAATTCTGTTCCCAAGAATCTCTCTGGATTTCGTGATGCTGACGTATCTGACATATTATTTAACTTAAGAAAATCGTGGAAAAGTGAAGCAAAGTATAATTTTTTTGATAAATATGACTTATTAATTGAAAGAAAGTAGACGAAACTGCCCGAATATGATTCTGATTTGATCGACAGTCTTACTGTTCGGTCATGTGACAAACATTAGCTATCAAGCGGTGAAAGTCCTCAACCTCCCACCTCTCGAGGTTTGGTTCGAACCCCACCTATTCCTGAAAACATGTTTGCCAAATTAATAATAAGATAAAAGGGTAGCAGTAGATGATGAAACTCATTGAATTTTTCATCTTTCCGACGATATGTTATCGTGCTGTTTTTCACTATCTTCCAGTCCATGATCTGACTCATAACAAACCAACAGTGAATTTAAGTGATGCGTACACAATGCTCAAGGAAACTCAGCACCTTCACATCACACAATGGAATTCGTCATATACGGATCCAAGTAAGTGAGATCTAAGCGATACTCAGCTTACCGTTTTCCACACATCTTCCAGGATCACGTGACTTTATGGGCAGAATGTCAATAAGTCACCTACTTGACCACTGAGCAGCTGGTCAAACCATTTCCTTTTGTCTTGGTACGCAGCAGAGTACCACTCAACTTTGCGAGCTTTGTGTGAATAGCTACTGCCGGTTGAGAACTTTCTGAACTTGACTACTTTTTGGGCGAGAGTAGTGACGACTGGATTGGATGGAAAAATGGAATTCGCCGTTTACACACCTTTACTGTACAGAAATGTTTTGTCTGGAACAAAAAAGACGCAAGTTTTTTCACTTACCACCGTGAAGCATTCTCTGTTCCATCTCAGTTTTTCAATCTGAAAAGATCACTTTTCTGGTATCCTTAACCCATCCATATGCCATTAACGTTGGACGCTCAACCTGTTCAGGACAATGCGAAATGTTTCGGGAACATCATGGAAAAGGGAAAAGATTTTGGTGAATAACAATTCAACTGAGTGATCCATTCATTTTTCAGGATTTCGTGTAAAGTCTCTTTACCCAAGAGGACCATTGTTAGTGGCAAATTATATAGGAGTAATAACAATGGAAGCTTTCCAATTATGCGAAAAAAATGTTCATTTTCAATGACCTTTCATCAGGGGATAACTTTAAACGCCTGATGAATTGAAGCACAAACTCTTTGATATTGCATTTACCCCGTTATCACGCAAAAATTGTTGATACTATTGCGCACAGAATTATCATAATCCGGATATTTCTTTTAACTCCAATGATCGATTTATTGACCAGTCGTGGAAACAACTGCTACTTCACGTCCTTAAGAGCGTGTTCCCATGCGACAGCACACGTGGTTGTTCTTCCTTTCCGACCTATTCACAATCCACAATCACCTTTCTCGTTCCACCCTCCGGAACTGGCTGTGGGCATACACCAAACCTGGACTATCACCCAAATAATGGCCGTCAGGTCATCTAAGCCTATATCTGTTTCCACCACCTATTTGCCCAAACACGACTAGTATACTTCCCTGCCAGACCGACCAATCGGGTCTCAAGGAACAGCACCGTACAAACTGCACACCCAACGGTCTCCACATGACGATTCGGACAACAGCGTGGCCTTGTCTCGTTGACCTGACCGGCTTCTGCGCAGAAGTGGATGCGTTCGTATTCGTAGATGCATTCACGCACGCGGGCACGTATGCACATATGCATGCACATGCGTGCGTTATTGCACACATGCACTCACACACACACACACACACACATGCACACACAGGTACACTGCCTCACACGGATTATCGCTCATTTCGTCACCATCCCATTTCCTGCCAGGTTGTTCGTTTGCTGAAGCGACGCCTGAAATTGTTGTATCTCTGAGACCGATCGGACATTATTTGACTTTTTTTTCGCTCAACCAAATTCTGGACTCCGGTTTTGCTTGATTCGACATTCAACTGCTCTGTTCTGTTTCTTCATTCGGATCATCGACACTTACTTGTGTGTGTTTTCGTGAAACAATATTAGTCCGCCAGCTCCCCTTCGACTTTTGTGCTGTGTTCACCACCCAATGAGTGATACTGAGACAAATCAACCAGAGGCCGCTGCGGCGGATGTTGTCATTGCGGATGTCGAGGGTGGACAAAGTGAAGTCGAAGAGGAAGAGGCAGTGCCATCTGAACAGAAAAAGTCAGAAGAAGATCAAGAGAAAGTAGAACAAACCGTGGCAGATGTCAGTGAAGAGGAAAAACCGGAGCCAGATGAAACGATCAAGTCAGGGGGAGTAGAATCAGAACCGGAAACCAAAGCCACCGAAGTCGATCATGATGCTCACGAACAGCCTGTGGTGTCTGAGAAGTCTTCCACACCAGAGGCGGAAGACAAGCAAGCAACAGCCAAAGTTCATTCATCATCAACTGAACAACTGATAACACCGATTGAACAAAACAAAGAACTATCGGGTGAATTGGAATACGAACCACTACTAGATGAACAAACAGTCGAAGAAGATGAGAAAAAAGCGAGTGAAACTTCTACTACCAGTGCAGTGGAAGGGATGAGGGAAGCACATGTGCCAGTGACAGAAAGGGAGGAAGCACCGGACGAGTATGTTGAACCGGAGAAAATACAATCTGTGTCCGAAAAGCGGCAAATATTTGAAACTCCGGTTGTACCGGCGACAGCTATGAAACCACGAACTGAAGCGCTTTCATCGGTATCTGTCAAACGCCAGGTCAGCTGGGAACCGCGGGTGGAAACAATTACAGTGGACCAGTCGCAGACCACGGCTGAGGTTGGCCAACATGTACCACATACANGAATTGGGATCAACGAACACAAAACGCTCAGAATGCTGGACAGGTAGCGTACAATGCCGTGCCAAGTAGGATTTCGTATCCAAGTGGTCAGTCAGTGGCGAACACCGCGGACCAAATGAGCAACATGTCGATCAACACAGATTATCCGGCCCCAAGAAGGACTAAGGCTTATCAGAGCGCGCTGTATCGACGACAGCCCGTCTCCCAACAATCCAGTCAACCGTTCTATGTTAAACCAAGCTACTGTATTGCACCGCAATCTGTGCCCAGTACGCCTAATCCCCCTCCCGTTTCTCGAGACTCGGGAGAAGCATGGAATCACTACCCAAATCAGGCACTTCCTCTGTCCGTTCCACCACAGCCAGTAATACGATCAGTTCCCGCCCAAATACAAACGGCACCACAACAAAATTATCCAGCCGCGACACCTGCACGAAAAATTTCGGGTACACCACCTTATGTTGGTTCCCAAGTCATTGCTACGAATACGGGACCATCGTCAACCGTGCTTCTTCGACGCCCAGTATCCGAACGACATTGGGGTTTCACGTTCTTCGGTGGATCGGAAAACGGTTGCCCACCATTCGTGAACAAGGTAAGCTCGAGATGTGTAAAATGTGTGTGGTCACGGGAATCGAGAGGATCATTTTCGTATGGAGTAATTTTTATGAACATTGACATTTGTGTAGATAATGTTCGATTCTACTGCGCATCTTTCAACGGAACTATTTATGAAAAATAGTTTCATCCTAATCTAAAGTGAATCTCATGAGATCATTCAGGGGCAGTATACTTTCTGATCATCGGATGATTTCACTGAAAGTTGCGTTAAAACATCTAAGTGTCTGTCAATTCGTTCTTGTTAAACTGGGGCACTTTTAATTTCCACGAACCATAGCTGATGGAAATTGTGTTTTAAATATACCACGTTCATATTCTTTTATCTTAGTTAAATTCTACGCAACCTTTGAATGGCGTACCGTGTCTGAGTAGTGATAGCCGGTAACTAATGACAAAGTGTTCTCCGTGTACCACAAACATGAACAATGATGCGCGCACGTGTGCAGCTCAAACCTACACATGACCGTATTCGAACTACCCCAACCTATGCTAACAATCCTTAACCTCCCGGTTGCAAAAGCTGTGCGATGCTTCGAGTGCATCGCCCTGTGCATGATAATTAACTTATCAGTACAATTAATGGTATCCTTACAAATGAAGTATTCGAGCAAGCTTGATTTGCGTTTCGTACTGATCGAAACACATTTGAAAGAGATGGAGATCAGTGATGTCGTTGAATTATTGTTTTGGCAACCAAATCCTACTCCTGGCTAACTCGAGGCTAACTTAGTCGCAAGTTGCTCAGGTTCACTATGAAACCAGATTCAGAATTACCGATTCGAACGGCGCAAACAGGATTTCGATTCGGTACAGCTGTGCCTAATGCGAGTCAACGAAACGGAACATGGACCAGATATTTCGCGTCCAGTCCATCATTGATGGATAGTTTTGGGAAAATATGACTATCTCAAAAAAATGTTACGTACCGTTGAATTCACGCTTCTGCATTGCATTTGGCATTGGACGTTCAAAGCATGTGTTCATTCAGGTCCGGATTGG